AACAGCTTTATTATGCTTGTGGTGTGATTGTACCATATCTCATGTTAGTGGAATCAATTTTTTACAGGGAGATTCAGGTAAATATGGTAAATTCCTATGGAAAGTCATTACGCTATGGTTGCAGCTACATCTACCAATCAATGCCACGTATGCTGAGTATATGGCTGGATTTTGGAACAAGTCTTTCTGAGATGGAGAAGGATAGGGACAAAACAAGGGGAAAGCCAGATGAAATGACAGGCATGAAGACAAGCTTGGACAAGATGACCAGGATTATTGGTAAGCATGCTGTATATACTTGTAATTTAGAGATCTGTGTATATTCCTTGTTTCTAATTGTGTACTGGATAATGTTCTGCAGGAGAGATGCAGAAAATTGTATAACCCAATATTCAGCCAGTTATGTCGTACCTGTCCAAGGTTATGAAACAGGGTTAGTAGATAATTATACCTGGATAGGTAGAGGATTTAAAAATTCGTTGGTCGGCAATTCTTTGTCATCTAATTCTGTGTCAGAAATCTGTAGACAGAAGGTGTAAATCCACATACAGCTCTGCAGATATGAAGGATATGTAAAAACTGCATGCGGATAAAAAAAAGTGTCATCCTCAGTCATAGTTACCTCTTCAAGATATCCTATCTTGAAGTAGTTACCACTTTTTAGGCTACACAGTTTCCTTTTTTCTGCGTAGGGCCCTAACTGTTTCTCCCCCTTATTGGCTTTCATGGCTCACTTTTATGCTAAAGATGGAGACTGCATGTTCCTTCATGGTGTATTTTTTCCATTTATAGTTGTAATTTTAGTCTTATTGCTTGTTCATTGTTAACCCATGCAGGTCATGTTATGAATTTTATAGGGTTTTTGTTGAAAGTAACAATGCATTTCACATGCTACTAAGTTAAAGTGATGGCACAAGAATTTCAGTGAGATTTATGACAGCCATATGAGGCCAAAACATGTTCTAGAAGAGTGTTCTAGGATAGAAGGCAAGAATAAAAATGTTGCATTTGGATGGTGGAAACACTTATCCACTGAAGATTATCATGTACTAGTGATGCAACAGGATGCTGACGTACGGTTCTCTATCAGACTACATGGTATCACTTCCTAGAAGAAAATTGTCCTCATAGTCACTGCCACTACGACCTTAAATCTCATATACGTGGGGAAGTCGTAAAATTTTAATTATCACTAAGAAGAAACAGGTGCACAGGTGCAAGAAATTCTATGTGATATAGTCCTTCTCTACATATGCCACACAATGCAAGGCCACACATTTTCCCCAACGATGCATTAGCTGCCGGATACCTTGATCATAGAAGGTCTCATTTTGACTGTTTAGGAAGTCCTCCACTGCAGAAATGACATCATCATAATCTTGGAATTTCTTACCCCAAAGTGGCTTCTTTAGTCATGGAAAGAGGAAGAAGTTGCTTGTTCCAAGGTCTGGTGAATATGGTGGAGGGGAGAGAATTTCATATCCCAAACTCACAGCAAGTGTCGTCATAACATGAGCAGCATGAATCGGTGCGTAGTCATGAAGAAGTCACACACCTTTTCCCAGCATTCATTGTCACTTTTCTTTGATTTCCTCCTGTAATTTTCTCAGAAGGTTCCAGTAGAACTCATCAGTGATGGTGATGCCCCTTTATGTGTTGTCGGTCATGATGACATCCCGCCAATCCCAGAAAATGCTCAACATCACCTTTCCTGACGACGGCTGGGATTTGGCCTTCTTTGGTGGCAGTGAGTCTGCATGTTTCCACTGCTTGCTCATTTCCTTTGTTTTGGGGTCATAACGATAGACCCAACATTCATCCATTGTGATCAGGCGGTCAAAAAATTCCAACTCTTCGTCTTGGCACATCTGCAAAAGTCCTTTGCCACATCCATCCATTGCTGTTTTTGAACTGGTGTTAACAATCATGGCACTCAACATGCAGCGACCTTTGTCATGTGTAACTCAGCATGATGTTGACAACTGACCCATTGCTAATGCGGACCTCATGAACAATAGCTTTGATAGTTATGTACCTATCAGATAGGATCAAAGCTTCCACCTATGCCACAATTCCCAGTTCCTCAGAGAGAGATGGCCTTTCACTTCAGGGTTTATCGTCGAGGTTTGTCTGTCCACAATGAAAGCACCTCTTCCACCTGTCCACTGTCATGATGGTACACCTTCCTGATACACAGTGGTCATCTGGTGATGGATCNTCCCTTGCAAATGCAGGAACCGTATCACGACACGAGCCTCCACTTTCTCAACTGACGTCACCATTCTGCTTCTGCCCCTTCCGGTGGTTCCCTTTGTCCACTTAGTTCCGGGAAATTTGACTGTTCAGCCAGCTCAGGAAATGGACTATCTCCTACATAAAACGATATTTTTGAATTATGATTTTCTCATGGTGATAATTAAAACATTATGAATTCCCATCATATATTTCTAAATGTAAAAACAAGGGATTCTAATATGAATGACAGCAACAGTAAGTTTGTTATAGGAAAGGGAAAAACATGTGTGTCTCTTGCATGAACTGTTACTTGAAGCTTACTTTGATAGTACACTAGCACTGCTTTATTGCTTCCAGATCAGTTGATAGAAGATCTGCCACCATACATGTTCCTTACAGCATTTTCACAACTGGTGTCACGAATTTGCCACCCACATCCAGATGTTTTCAAACACCTGAAGACCATCATAGCATACATGCTGTTGGTGTACCCTCAGCAGTCATTGTGGATGTTAATGCCTGTGTACAAGGTAAGTTATTCTAGCAACTTCTGTGGCAAGCAAGAGTTATGGGTGCATATATATAAAATAATTTTGACAAGTTGAAAANGCCAGCTCACTAACAGTCGCGGGAGACCCCCAGCCAACACCACCTAGCAGCACAACTCGTAACTACAAAGCATGCGCGTGCAACAGGTCGTTTCCGGTTATCTTTGGGTCCCCCCACGTATCTTCAATTTCAAATCAGAGCAGGCAGTATGGTTAAGAATATCCTATTGTTACGTGTATGAGTGACTGTAGATGGGACTTTGATTGGAGATTGGATTTATTGACCACTTTATGACACCACTTGTGAGTACACTTAATTATAGCAACATTGCTGATCTCCACACTTTATGAATTATTACAGTGCATGCTAAGTCTTTTCAGTCTGCCGTGTCTTCCCCAGTCATTTCCTAACTTCTTCACTTCTAACAGTGGAGATTCTTCAGCTTTCTAGCTGACTTTGTTACTGTCCGACAAATATTCCATGACTCTCTGTACTACTGACAAATTTCTAAACATGTCCCTTCCCTACAACATCTTGGCATGGACTGGGTAGAAAACACCGTTCATTGTTGTACTCCAGTCGTTTCCATGAGAACATATCTGTTTGTGAAGGTGCTACTCTGTAACGGCTGTATATACTTCCTTATTAATAATCTGTTGTCTAGAAGTGGATATTGTTTCATTGTTTGTTTCCAGGTTGTTACCCAGTAACAGGTTTACACGCTACGTTGCCACCTCCTTAAGGCTATTTGTCCTGAATAGCCTACAGGTGTACCACTGTTTCTTCTTTTTTGAGGGCTGTGCTTGTGATGTCTGTAATCATTCTCACCTTTTTCCCCTGTGGCTCAGTTCTCACAGAAATTACTCTCCAACTGCTCTGTTGTACCCTCCTTAAGGGAGCTCACCCCAGTGATAAGATGCCAGTCAGACCAGGTAAACCACAATCATCCTTGATCTAGACTTCTTCTGGATCCTGTATGTTACATCATTTATCTGGATTACTACCTTGTACAGGCCCTCTCATGAGTATTGGAGCTTGGGCAATTGCCCCCTCATGCAGGTTGGATGATAGAGCCACATTTTGTCTCCCTTGTGAGAGCCCACACAGTTGGCCAGTCTGTCATGTAGATGGTCCACTAAGTTTGTAGCGTGATCAATTGTGGTCTCTTCTTTCATATCAGAAGCGGCTGACCCCTCCACAATGTCCTGACATTCATTTAAGTCAGTCTAATAGAAGTCCTGACTGTTTGCTCTGTGATCTCCAGCTCTACAGTCTTCCTGAAGATCCTGCTAGATGTTGTCTCCTTCCCAAGACATATCTGCCATCTTGTGCCGAGGTCCTTTATCCCAGTGTTGCATTTCAGGCCCATCCATTGTTTCTTCTCAACTGGGGGTCCTTCAGGGGCTCCTTTTGCAAAATCGCCCCTGGTCTGTCTTTTCCATGGGTTCCGGCATACCATGGCAAAGTAATTCTCTATTGGGATCCGTCGTAACACAACAATGAAATGGTCTAGGTCAGCATCACCTTAGCTACTTAAAGCCATCATCATGCCAATACATGGTTACTGCACTCACACATTGTTGAATTGTATTTCAATGTGACAGCAGAGCTGGATACTTGACAACTAAGTTACACTATAATAATACAAGGTATAAAAATACAGTAAAATTATAAAATTATGATAAAATGAAAGTTATACAATAAAATATGGTTAAGAACTCTTCATCTGATATTTCATATTATGAAGTCAGTTGTTGCAATCTTGTTGTTATATTCCAGCGGCCATGTGGCGGTATATTCATGACTTGTACCTGTATAGCTAACTGCTTGGAGGCCCGTGGTATTGGTGTAGTATTATTTGGTATTAATTGTTTGGCCGGTGTCTCATTTTACAGTGTATTTTGTCCATCCTGTTGGGAATACAGATTGCAAACAATACATGAATAGTTTTTAACTATATTTTATTGCATAACTTTTGTCTTATAATAATTTTATAATTTTATTGTATTTTTATACCTTGTATTATTATAGTGTAACATAGCTGTCAGGTATCCAGCTCTACACTCGCATTGAAATGCAGTTCAATAATGTGTGAGTACAGTAACCATGTATTTGCCTGATGATGGCTTTAAAAGCCAAAACATATAGCTAAGGTGATGTTGACCTAGACCGTTTCGTTGTTGTGTTACGATGAATCCCAATAAAGAATTGTATATAATAACGCAACAGGATGTACCCAATAAGAACGTTATAAGTAATGTTCACAAAGTTGGGAGACCATGCCGCTACTGCCGTATGTGATAATGTATTGAAAATCCATGCCTAAAGTGCAGCTACCTGTAGGATGAATGATCAGGTATCAGACTAATAGATGGATAACTAAATGAACATATGGGGTACTGGTTACATGTTGTCTGGAACAGGAGACCAAGAGTATTGTTAAGAAAACAAGGAGTGTTTGTGTTAGAAGTTTTTAAAGGGCATTTAACACTGAATATCAGATCTGATTCCTGCAGGAATAGTGACCTCGTGGTCATACCTAAAAAGGTAATTCCATTAACTACATGTTCTAATAAATAAGCCTTTTAAGGACCATTTGAAACAATTGTATTCTGAATGGTTCTTGGCAGGCATATTCTGGCATCACCATGGCAGTATAGAGGCTCAATATGGAACTGTTGTGCCAGTGGATGAGATCATGGGAACAATTTCTCCAGAAGTAGTAGTCAGAATGTTTGGAAAATGTTGTATATCTAATGAAATGGGTAGAAGGAAAGATGAGGCTGATGTTGGGAATGTTGGAAGTGAACATGAGAATGTGAGACAGAAGATGGGAACTGTGAGACACTGAAGCTGAGATAGATGGTAGGAATGGTGAGGCTGAATGAAGGCTATTGTCTTCGAGAGGAAACTAACTCAATAAATTGTGCAACAGGTTTTCTAGCATAGTTTCCTTCACATGTTTATAGGAGTAGTATGAAATAAATAAATAAAATTGCCTATTCTGTGCTGACATTTTTCTTAATGTGAGGTCATCTTACATTCAGAATCACCTTCCATTTGGATAAATGTGGTAGCACCCTGAAAAGATGATGATTGTTATACATTATTATAGAGAAAAAAATGGTCTACTGGAACAAATTTTCATTCTTATGTGAGTCTATAAATTTTTTCCCAAATTCTTATCTTAATGTCATATTCATCTGAAAAAGTAATTCTTGCACTTTGCAGTTATCAAAACTTTTCAACTTAGTATTGTATAATTTGTATAGTTTTATGTCAATATATGTTGAACTTTCTTTGGCATAATTTTAAACTTAAAGAAAATATTAACTGAACAGTTGTGCATGCAAAAACGAATTTAAAGGCAGTGATCTGAAATAATGTTTTACATAATATTTGTTTCAGATGTACATAATTTTGAACACAGTGGTATACTGCATCATGTATTATCATATCCCTCATTATAAATGAGTTTACCAGTGTCATGTCTCTTCTAAGATAATTGATGTCAGAATAGAAAAAAAAAACATTTTTAGGAAGTGAAATAATGAAGTGATTCTATATGCATGTAATGTAATTGGGTTACACAGAGTGGTTAACCCTTGTGAAAATATTATTCCACACATTGTATGACATTTTAAATGGTTGATATTAATGATGTTTATTTATGCAGTTGTGACCTTAAAATTATTTTTGCAGTCCTCGTCCATGTTTCGGGCCAAGAGGTGTGAAGATGTGCTTAATGATCCCATATTCAGAAACACGAAGAATATGAAGCTTTTAAATGACTTCACTCGGCTGACAGAGAAGCTTATTGAATTGACTGAGAAACCCATTGGAGCTGTAAGTTTTAACAGTTTTGTAATTTTGAGGTTTTGTAAAGAACACACCCAATTTTTCATCATGGGTGGGAAATGGAATGGTGCGAAAGGAGAACCCTGCCCAGGGACACGATATTTTCAGGAGAAGTGGAAGTGTGAGGAAAAACTGCCCTTTTGGGGCCACTGAACTTTGAGTACAGAAGAGAGGAGTATTATTTCAGGAGAAAGTAACTGATGTATCCACGGAGCGAAAGTTCTTCCTTTCCTTCAAGGATTGTATAAGAGGCTTATAATCTGCTCAAGGAGAACCTGTAACCTGTCCTTGCTGTTCTTGAACAGACGATTCAGTCGGTCTTCCCTCGTGGAGGAAGAAGCACCATTTGCTTAACGTTTATACAAAACAAATGGGCTGCTTTGTCATCTCTGATTCAGTTGCATGTTCCATGCTCCCAAGTTGGATATGGTGCCTAAACAGGAACATACGTCTGATTTACAAGTTTGGCCACTTCCGGTAGGCAAGGAACTCTGCTGTTATGCCATAACAAAACATGTATAATATGCGAAAAGATATAATTTGGGGCAGTTGCACAACAAATAATCAGAAAGGAACAAAATAGACACTACCGCATTAACATTTCTTTTTTATTCGTTGTAGGTGGTAATGCTACATGTTTCAACCCTTTTCTTGGGTCATCTTCAGGTGTACACAAATACTATTTAGCTTCTGAGTTGCATCGTTAATCAAACAAATTCATATTGTGTCTGTATGATTATTCTATACTGACAGTTAAATCTTAATTTTAAAATGTGGTTTAAATATAGTTAAAACTAGACAAACTTGATATTAAATGGGTAAAAATTAAAATTACAGTTACAATTAAAATTATAATTAGAATGGCTATTAAGGTATTTATGGGGCACACAGTAGCGTAGTTGGTTCAGGCACTATGCTGCAAGCTGGAAAGTTGCAGGTTCAGGTCCTGATGAGGTCATTGGATTTTTTTCAATTGACCTAATCCTTCCAGCCGCACTATGGCCCTGGGGTTGAATCATCCTGTAACAGAAATGAATACCAGGAATATTCTTGGTTGTGAAGGGCGGCCGCCATGTAAGTCTGACAACCTCGCCTCCATCTATGAGCCAATTGTCTAGAAAATGTGGGAACCTCAACATCTCACAACCCTATGGGCCTCCACGGCCTGTTACAGGGATTCCTGTACTTTTTTGCTTTATTAAGATATTTATAGCCAATATTACAAACTCCATTTAAGCCTTGAGCCTGCTACATATCATATGTGTGTTGTTTGTTGTTCCACTGTGGTAGTGATATTTTGATGTGGGGTAACTGCTTGCTGGGATATTTCTTCAGAATATAGGTCGTGTTGGCTTCTGACATTATTAAACATGTGAAGGCTGAATATGTTGTTCAGGGTATCCCGTTTGGTTTGTTTATACATGGTCTGGGATGTTTGAATATGGTGTTATGTATATATGCAGTTCTTCATCATGACTGTTATTGCTGTGCTATAGCTGTTCTCTCTGCACTCATGTATGCCCGAAGATGACCCATAAGAAGGGTTGAAACATGTAGCCTTATCACCAACAACGAATAAAAAGAATGTTGTCACAGTAGTGTCTATTTTGTTTCTTTCTGATTATTTGTTGTGCGACTGTCCCAAATTATATCTTTTTGTAAATGACACACAACAGGATGCATACCTTAAAGATATTTAATATGAAAAACACTTGAACAATAATTTGACACACTTGAAGATTATGCCAAAGATAAATATGAACAAACAGCACAAAAAAGGCAGATGAGTATCAGAGTACATGTTCCAGGATTTACAGCTGGAGAAACCAGTTTAAATAGAAATGGTCAATGACTGCAGCTTTGTGAAGGGTAGCACTTCAGCTGCTCCAGACTGGCTCTTAGCAGAACTGTGAACACGTGTAATGCAAGAGTGCCACATGTGGCAACATATTTTCTGTTTCATACTAACAAACACAGATATTTACCTTTTACATGAACATATTACTGATAAATACCAAGTGAATCATGGCCAACTAGTTCTCAAACACATTCCAGCCAGCAAGATTGATGTTCATGAGCACACATGTGCACAAATATGTAATAATATTGAATGCAGATCAAATGCCTCATTACTTTTCATAAAGGCCCAAATGTTACCAGTAGCCTTCACTAGTACTCATTGAAGATTGCTTGCCTCAATAGCCCATTGTACAGGATCCAAACATAATTTTTAAGTTTACATAAATCAAACAGCAAGGCTGGAACCAAATTTCATATGTCTCTGTGCTGGACATTGAACCCAGAGAGGGTTGAGCCTTTTCAGCCCAACACACAGCTCTTGTTCCAGAATATAAGGAAGGGATCAGATTGATAGACAGGAAATATCTGATGACAGATGTCAAATGGAATAGGTAGCAAGATAGGGCCAACTGAACACAGAGAAATATAATAAACTGATAGCAGCGCTCACTGGGTCACTGAGAAGAAACAGGCATTACATTGTCAGTCTTACTGCTGTATTCTGTGTATAATAGTTTTAAAAGCATTTGAATTCTTATATTGTTTTACAGGATGTCAGAAACATTACAGTGAGTACTTTAGTTAGCTCACTTCCTCGTCTTCTAAAATCACCAGATTTCAGTGACATTATGATGCCATGCCAGCAGTTCACAGTCATTCAACTGCCCACTGATGAAAACAGAATAATTGGCCATGACCCATTTCCAGCGTAAGTCCACTGGTTAATGTATTTTATATTGACTGTGTGCAGGTATTTGTGTAGCTTTGCCATCTCAAATTTAAGTAAACCTTTGTCTGAAGCAGGGTTAGGTTTTTTGATAATGGCGCTTCAGGTAACTCTGTATTGTACAAACTTAATGTGTTATGGGTTAAGTGGCGAACTTCATAAAGTCTATTACATGATAAAATGTCTTATGGATGTAACAAGCAGACAGGTTATAAGGAGTATTTACTTTGCTCACTTCCATGCTTATTTGAATGGTTTAATTTTCTGGGGTAGCGACCCAAAAAGTAAAATTATATTTAAATTACAGAAACGAATTGTTAGAATAAATAGTGGTGTGAGTAGATTAGCATCATGTAGACAACTTTTTAAGGATTTAAACTTACTTCCCCTACCCTGTATGTATATATTTGGAATAATATGCCATGTTAAACTACATTTAGAAAAGTCAGAACAAAATAACATAGTTCATAATCACAGTACGTGCCAGAAGTTAAATCTCCATGCTCAGTTTTGCAGAACAAATGCCTATAAGAAAGGAGTACTGAACATGGGAATAAAATTATACAGTAAAATACCAAATAAAATCAGGGAGCTAGAAAAAATGAGACAGTTTAAAAAAGTAATGAGGTCATATTTGGTACAACATATGTTTTATTCTGTAGAGGAATATATTGTAACGTGTCGGCAATCCAGAAGTCACTTCTATGGAAACGCCAGAATAGACCGTTGCATAATAGACAACAATTGCTCTACTGTAGTTCTAACAGGAATCTCCACGGTTACGACGAATACGCAAAGGTTCCCACAGAGACAACGCGATAACAATGGGTTATTGCGTAGGAAACGCGGAGCCAACAATGCAATGTCTCCACCGCTATAACAGAGGGTTCGTTACCTAGCAGCGGCCAAGGATAAATAGCCCAGCTTCGACACGAAGCCAGTCAGTCTCGGATTAGACAGCCAAGAAGCCAGACGTGATCAAGCCTCCGAAGGAGAGTCTCGGAACAGGCTTCGAAGAAGAAAGCCCTGGAATATCCGCTGCAGAAAGGAGTCTGCTATACACCGCCAACGAAGCCAGTCAGTCTCGGATCAGTCTTCATCGAGCCGTCTAAGGAGACAACATCGCCGGAATATTGTAAGCAGTGATTGCAACACTGCGGGTGTAAATGATTGTGTAAGCGTGAAGGACAATAAATGTTCTACGGAATTTGAGAATGGCGTGAGCTTATTTGTCGCGTTATACGCCCAATACGTGACAATATGTTAAATTAAAGATGGTATGTTTGTGAAAGGGGGGTATTTATTTTTAATTATAGAAATTGAACTATTGTATGTTTAATGTGTGTGGAACGCTTTCCTATGACAGTGATTTGACGAGGAAGGAAGAATGGATTGGTTGATTGATTGATTGATTGATGTGAAATTGATTGAATTGGTTACTCTGTTGGGGAATTTATGTTGTGATAAATTTTTAATCTTTATCGGACGAACGTCATCATATGATGTTAAAAGTTAGGGCAGCTGGCCGAACGTCATCATATGATGTCGCGGATTCCACGCGTGTGAGGTTTTTTTAATATTATATTAAAAATATAAATTGTTGTTCTATTTACATGATTTTTGGTCACCACCTTTATAAGGAGACAGCCTTCGTTCCTGCATGATCTAATGTAATCTAGGGACGTCATATGACGTTAAAAGTAAGGACAAATTTAAGAACGACATCATATGATGTCGCGCATTCCACGCGTGTAAAGATTTTTTTTAAATTAAATTTAAAATGTAAATTGTTCTTCTATTTACATAATTTTTGGTCACAACTTTTATAAGGTGACAGCCTTCCCTCCTGTGTGATCTAATGTAATCTACCGACGTCATATGGCCGAACGACCTCATATGATTTCGCGCATTGCATGCGTGTAAAGATTTTTTTTAAATTAAATTTCTGCTCTACTTACGTGATATATGTTCACCATCTTCATGAGGAAACAGCCTTCCCCCCTGCATCATCTATGGTAATGTGGCCTTCGTATGGTACTGCCGAAAAAATTCCGAAATGCAGAGTCCGACGTCGCAGCTCACGCACTTCGTACGAACGCTAGACCGCTTCCCACGCGAAAAGCACACACGACACCTCAGTTGCGATTTAGAGGAAGCAGGCCAGTGATGTCGAGCTGCAGTGATATTTATCCCCGCAGCTACACCGGAATAATTATTCACACCTCTCCAGCCACACTGGTCTGGCGGTCCCCAAGTTGCCGACGAAGGTGATGACCCGTCGTCCGCGGAATCAGAATTCCAACTTTGCTCGCCCCTATCATAATCTGTGTCATTGAACAGCTCTTTCTCAATTTCAGGCATCAGAAGACCAACCTTCCACGCCACATTCAGAATCGGTTGAATAGCAGTCCGAATCTGTGTCTCATTTCAGCATTTTCCATACGACGTCGTCGTGTATACGGATCTCTAGCAGTGCTAGCAGTGAATCTCTGTGCTTAGACCACGATAAGAAGCCATAAATCTTAACCTCGAGCCCACACATACAAAAATCTCATTCACGACTTCTCTGAACCCAATATCTGCTTCATGATGTCATGGGTGGCTAACCTTATATTGCGATGTTTCAAAATCGTTACAAACACAATGGTTTGACTGCAATGAATGAACGAATTACCGATCTGGCAACACCATATTCCGAGAATTAACTCCTGTGTTTATCTAACACATTAGGCAGCGAGGAATTTCAGACGCAAACAGTCATGCATAGCGACATGTCCCATACGATAAATAAGCTACAACAAGAGATACCATTGAATGTGAAGTCGCCACAAGGACTTACACTGCTAAAACGCATGGTGCAGAAAATGTATTGCACTGCTAGAACGCATGGTGCAGAAAATGTATGAATTTCGGGAAATTTTATTTTGGGAATCAGTGTAAAAATTTTTTACAGATATTAAAATCTGTAAATTAGAATATCTGATTCTATATTCTTTCTACATTAAAGGAGCGTTCATTTCGTTCGTTTATCATAAAAATGTAGAAATCACACCATTTTTAGAAACATGCTTACAATTTCATTGCTCTAGAAGGGCGGGCATTTAAATAAACTCCGTCCAGCTGCCCCTACCGGAAATTAAATGGCCCCTCCGATAAAGGTTAATATAGTTTTATATGGTATGTTGGTATATGGTATGTAGTTAAATATTATAGTATTGTTGACTTTTATACAAATAATTTGACTTGTTCTGTATCTGGATGCTGTATTGCAAAGTGTGGATTTCTGGAACCAATAAAAATATGAATATGAATATGAATATGAGACCTATGAGGTAGTGATAGTATATTACCACACATTCTTAACCTCAGTACTACTTGGAGATGAATGGTCAGTTTTATCTCCCAGATACTTTGCCCCTGGGGAAGGAGTGCTCTTATCCATTTAATAGTAGCCTGGGTGGCCCCCAGAGCTGGTCTGCACACCATGGAGAAGTGAAAAATCTCCGTCTGTGGCAGGAATTGGAACCCAGTTTCTCCATATCCAATCTGTAGCCTAGTCACTAAATAAATGTAGATGTTCAGTTTTCTTTCTCCCATTGTCTCCTTCAGCAGGTCAGAAAAATGAAACTCAGTGTTTAGATAGAATTTTAATGTGAGTGTTCCCAGGCTTCCCAGCCTACTTCCTCAGAAGCATTGATAACTTTAGGCTGTATGTAGACAAACATCGTCTCCCTGAAGAACAACTTATTTCCATAGTAATGGTCCCATTTACTGAATGGATTAACAGAAAGTTATAGTACTCAGCATCCACGCTTGTTCCAGTTAGATGTTGATGTGACTGACTCATTGTGTCCTAGAAGACAGTTTCTGTGACTTTGCCTTCAAATTTCTTTTGTTTAGGGAAGCTTGTGGACTTTCATGCAGGACTGCAGGTGTGTCTGACAGCTGTAGCCCGTGTTTGCTTGTTAAGTCCTGATCTGGCAGAGAGACCTCTTTGAACCCACTATACTTAATGAATGGCTGTTTCTACAGATTTGTTAGATATACTGATCTGGATGGGAAACAAGCCTTAGCATGGCATATGTTTTCATAAATAAGAGCAGTGCATGGTGCACCAGTTGTGGCATGACCAAGAGTGGATACTGGTCTTGTGAGAAGTGCACACCATTCAGTGCTCCAACAGTCTTTTGACCTTGCTGACCTCAGGACACCTTACAGGGGTTAAGGAATCTACTTCTGAGGTGCAATGTCCGTTGAGTTGTATTTTGAGTATGAACCAAAAGAAAAGTGCTGTAACTTGCATTTGATTTGTAAATGATAGCTCTCATAAAAGGGAATGTTTGAATGTTTGTGCAGAAAGCAGGTGTTCATCAAGGAGATATGTGATGAACTCACTGTCTTGCCATCACTACAGAAGCCACGACGTATTTCGTTCATTGGTTCGGATGGAAACCAATACATGATGATGTGCAAAGCAAAGGTAATTTTTGTGTGTTAGTACACTTAAATTTCTTGGTGTTATGTGATTGCAGTCTGAAATGTTTTGAAATATAAATAATGGTAGTATTAAACTGGATATTTTTTTGTACACAGTATAATAAAACCATAAGTAAACGTGTGACATTGTATTTGGAAATGTTGCATGTGCAATCACAGATCATGACCATTATGTTGGAAGCCAATAGACTCATGCAATGAATCATGAATCTTCTAAATTTCAAAACAGTGTTTCAACATAATTTATTCAGCAAATCGTTTTTTTTTTTGTTATCCCCATTCTACATCTGTAATGCCAAATAATATATAATCTCTCTGGGTGAAGATAGTGGTTCAGTGATCAGCTGGAGGCTCTTCATGTGTTTATGACAGAGGAGATACAAATTGATTCTGTTCTGACATACAGATAATATAGGAGACATAATATTGAAGGAAATTTCTTTATATGTTATGTAAATTGATACTGTTAAAAATGTTTTAATGATGCCACTGGTAACATTTCTAGGATGATTTACGTAAAGATTTCCGTTTCATGGAATTCAACAATGTGGTAAATCGATATTTAAGAAAGGATCCTGAATCAAGACAGCGGGGATTATACATTAGGACATATGTAAGTTTTATATCCAATCTTTGAATACATGCAGTACATGTATATGAAGAAAACTTTCCCAATGTAAACTTCTATATTAGTAGAACTAATACAATATTACTTCACTCTTTAATATGTTAATGAAGAAGTATGCGAAATACAGGGTTTGTCCGGAAAGTAATGCAATTTGTTTTTTCCCGCTGCTCCTCCTGGTCGCAGCGAGTTCGGACTGGCTGGGAAAGGGGGGGGGGACTCTTAGCTTTATATCGCTTCCAAGCTCAGTCTGCTCTGAGCTCTGGAAGCGTCAGGATCGCTGTTTCCGTGAACTTCCTGCTAGTGCCTGTGTCACGACGCGCAATGGAGAAAACTATTGAACAATGTTATGTGATCAAGTTCTGTGCTAAACTGAATAAAAGCCTCGCCGACACCCACCAAATGATTCAGGAAGCCTACGGGGACTTTGCTCTCTCCTATTCTCAAGTCTCCAGGTGGTTGAAGTTGTTTAAAAATGGCCAGGAAGAGGTGGAGAATGAACCCCGGTCTGGATGGCCGTCAACCAGCAAAAGTGACAAAATGTGTCTCATGTTTGTGATCTTTTAAATACCAATTGTTGAATGAGTGTTCGGATGATAGCAAGGACTCTCAGTATTCTGAAAACCACTGTGCACAACATCGTTACCGACAATTTGCACATGTGGAAAGTGGCAGCTGCACCACGGCAACACTCCCAGTCACACCGCTCTGTGCGTCCAGGAGTTTCTGGCCAAGCACAGCTTCACAATTGAACCATTGAAGCGATCCAAACCACTGTGACAAAGGCTCTAAACGAGGTCCCCGTCGACGCCTTTCAGGATGTGTACCGTACATGGAAAAGTCACTGGCAAAAGTGTGTGGATGCCCAAGGGGAGTACTTTGAAGAATTTTAAATATTTATAATGATATCTTGAATAAATTTTTTTATGAACTTAATTGCATTTCTTTCCGGACAAACCTTGTATATAAAGTCTTATTTTTATATCTTGATTATTTTTTATAATATTGTAAAGGTAATAAGGGTTATTTATTGTCAGTGCCAAAATTGATATATTTGTGCTGCATAATATCATTTCCTCTTGATTTGCATCATAAGGCATTAAACTTATGGTGATGGAAGACATTTAAATCAGATTCTTCAGTGGATAATTTGCAGAATTTCTATCATATGATCATTAATCATTTGGAAGATATTTTTGTTCACAATTTCAAATGATCTTACTTCAGCTATAAGGAACTGAATTACCGCCACCCATTCAGTCAGTTTGGTAAGCATGAGGTCAGTACTTGAGCAACATGTTATAATATAAAAACTAGAAAGTGCTGTTCATTTAGAATATTAATCCATTTCCAAAATGAACACATTAGGAAATAGTAACTTTAAATATCACAGTGTTGTGCTTAAGTTACTTACAGTAAATAAGCAAAGCACTGTCATAGTTAAATTTATGACCATAATTGCAGTCACTTACTGTCACATTCTGATGATTAACACTTTCACAGTAACTGTCTTTAGCTTTTCCCAGCTTATTTAACAGTTGTTTTATCATAACATAGGAAGCTTTTACTGCAGTTGCTTTTTTATGTGTTTGAGCTGCTCTAATGTCACAGAAACGTTAAATTTGTTTAGCACTGTTGATCTAATCCTTATACATTTTGTCATGTTCCATTTCAGCATGTTGTCCCATTGAATGAAGAGTGCGGTATTGTTGAGTGGGTCCCCAAGTTGGTGGCATACCGTAACATACTTATAAGACTATACAAGGAAGCTGGGATTTACACAAATAATAAACAGCTAAGAGATCTGTCAAGTCGTGAGTAGATTGCCTTATATTAGAGCAGGTTTTATACTTCTGTATAATAGATAATACTTTCTGCATTGGTTCTGAATTACAGGCATTATTTATGCTCTTATAAAAGTGTCTTGCTGAATGGAATGACAGCATACATTTCAGATCGACTGGCTGGCTACACCATTGTCAGACACCTTGTCAGAAACATGACAGAATGGTTTCTTGTCTTATTTTGCACATATTTTTTTATAATTAGATTGATTATTAGGTAATTAGTGATAATAGTCAACTAACCATTCTCTTTGATTTAATATTCTTTTTACACTGCACTAATGCTCATTGTTGGCTGTAGTTTATTATACCACCATCAATTGTGCATACAGCATTTGACAGTACTGCTTAACAACCTGCCATCTGATCTCAAAGGTCTTATGAATGAGAAGGCACGATTTAAAATAGCACTGAAATAATACTTAAATACACATTCATTCTACTCTGTTGATGAATACCTATTGTCTAGAAAATAACTTATGTATCTTTAAATAGCCTTTTGTGTAGTCACTGCATATTCTTGGTTTCTCTTGTGTGAGAACTCCATTGGGACTGTACATATATTTTGTATTTATATGACATATTCCACATCCTACAGTCATTTTGACTAATTTTTGATCCATGGAATGCAATGTAATGTAATGTAACGTAATGTAACTGCTAGGGAAAAGGAAATAGGATATTATGTGAAATTTTTGTTTGGTATATCATGAAACTTAAAAGACTATGAGCTTTTATCAGTCTGAGATATGTAATGTGGATTTTATTGATATTGTGATGTATACACTCATTGCTAGGTAATGACTTAGTAAACGCATTTCTGCAGAAGCAAACGCGCAGAACAGTTGCATGTCCACTGGTAGGCAATGGATCAGTAAACACTCCTTAACAATAGATGCTGTGTGTTTGTGTGTTCTGTGCAAAGTGGTTATAAAGAAGTGTTTGGCAGCATAGAGCAGTATAGTACAGTAGTCGAGAGTGGACAATTGAGTTTTGAGTCCAGAATCATACAGATGATATATTTTTGCCAGAAGTGGGATTAGATTTATTGATTGATTGGATTGAACTGTGGATTGAAGACTCCAGTGGTTGGTAGTATCATCAGCCTACACGATGAAACAAATGATGGACGTCATCCAAGCAAAAATGGATGCCAACCAAAAAAAATTGGACGCCAATCTCAAGGAAATGAAAGCTGAAATAAGAGCCAATAATGAGAAGTTTGAGGCCCTTCAAGCTACTCTTGTCTCCCTTATGGATGCATACCATGCCAAGACAGAAGCTAACCACGAGAAGATGATGACCAAATTAGATGCCCATTATGAAAGGATGAGAGCCTGGTGAAAAGAGATGACGGCCTGCCAAGAAATGACAGAGACCTATCCAGAAAATCTTTTGGAGCAATGAAGAAGTGGCATAGGGGCTGGAACCTGGCTGCAGGGCACTACAGAAAGCAGAAGGAATGGATCCAGGACAATGGTGGGTCCTGGAAGAATTTGTCTGCTACCCACAGAAGGATGACCCGCTGTGCTAAAGTGGCACAGTGCAAGCTACACTGGCCAAGGGACAGAACAAGGATGATGTTGCATAAGGAACCCAGAGAGGATGAATGGTCAAAAAGAGATGTTGGAAGGGCCCAGAATGCAAAAATGGAATAATGACCCAAGGCTCTAGACAGGAGCTATATCTTGGAAGTGAGAGGACATCCGGCAGGATCTACAGGAAAGCTCTTGTACTGGAGGTTGAAAATCAAACAGCTGGATTGTTCGTCAGGATGTGAAAAATGAGCATCAGGATATCGTGGAGGGGCCAGCCTCCTGCAAAGTGGAAAATAGACTGCACACGGAGTAAGAACTGGCAATGTGGGAGCACCGGCCACTCCAGGTAGTTTTGCCCCATACCATTTGGAAAAAGAAAGACAAACATTATGGTGATACACCTGGATTGACTGGCACCCTATCAGGGAGCCACTTGGGATGTGTGGTCTTAAGGAGCGAGCAACGGGAGTTGTTGGAGAGTAAACACTGCAAGAGTTGAGAACAATCATAGACATCACAAGCACAGCCCTTGGAAAAGGAGAAATGGTGGTAGCAATGTGATGTGTATACTTATTGCTAGGCAACAACTTGGTGAACACATTTCTGCAGAAGCAAACACAGAACAATAGGATGTCCACTGGTAGGCAGCAGTCCTCCATAACAATATAGGATGTGTTTTTTGCATGGTCCATGCCAAGTGGTTATAAAGAAGTGTTTAGCAGCTTAGAGCACTATAGCATGGAAGTCGGAGAGTGGAGAGTGGAGTTTCAATATGCCAGCCTGCCAGGATATGAACTTGAGAGCAGAGGAATTGAATTGAGGTGATTCTTCAGAAATGGCAGTCACAGAATAATGGCAAGAAAGGCATTGGGCTGTGAAAGATGACTTTATATGTGATTTGAATTTACATTGAGACTGTGATAAATCCATTGCTATGATACAACTATCGAAGACCGAGAATCCTTGTGTGTGTGGAATGGTGAACTGTCAAATGTGTAGATTAGTGATAGTGCTGTATTACCTGTAGTCCCGAGTTGTGAATGTACAAGTTGCAATAAATCCACTCATTGAATCCAAAACCCATATATAGTCACTAATATGCATGACAGTATTTTCCTTGTGAAAAGTTACTGTCATGATATGCTTTGGGGTTCATATTATAACTAGATATTGTACTTCTGTCCATTATAATTTTCTGGTGCAAAAAAAGAAAACATGTAAGTGTTTAATATAATGTTAGGGAACTCCAATAAATGTTGTAATATCCAGCACCTCCAGGACTGAAGGGTTGCCACATGTCGCAGTCTTCTGGAAATTAGAACGTTATACCTAATGTGTCCCTTAATATACAAAGCAACCTCATGGACAGACCTAACTACTGAATTTATCACTTGGTATCCTGTGCTGTTTTCCCTACTGTTCCCTATTCATCACTACTTATGCTCAAGCTTTCACCCACATGTGCATGCATTTAAGGACAAGACAAGGATGCCAATATTTCACTCTTTTAATCATCATATTCACAGTCAGTTTCTGGTTAACAGAGCTTTCTGGATTCTCCAGTGCCACAGGCCGCAGTTTATACTGTACTGATATCCGGATATTAAAGAATGAGATACTGTGGCATTTCATGCTGCTCCATCACAGAGACTGTGCTTTATTCCTGCATTACATAAGGCCTGCAGTGTCTTCATCTTGTGCATTATACCTGTTACAGACCTATCAGACTCCCATTCTGCAAAGCGAGAGAAATTTGAACGATTTTTGCTCCCCAAACATCCACCAGTATTTGATGAGTGGTTCAGATTCACCTTTCCGGAGCCTTATGCTTGGTGAGTGATTCCTTTTAACATTTAGAAAGAAAGGAAGGATGTATTAAGCAGTTTAACAGCGTGACCATCAGTGCGGCATTTATTAACTCAGCAAATACAAGGGACTCTTAGTAACAAGAAACTGACATGCATGTTCAAGCAGTTTCTCTCTATTCTGCAGGCTGAGCTGAAAAATAGGGTTGTTAATTTTAAGAACTGAGTAATAGGTATAATTGCTGCTATAGGTGAGTGCCATTGCTGCACTACAGTGGAATCCCCATGTAATAGTTACTCCAATGAAACCTTAAATGTGGGTTTCACTGTGTGCTGTTTGCTTTATGTCTTCAGATGTGGTCTTTGTTGACCTTTTGGCCTCTGTCTACATAGACAGGGCTGTAGAATTCATTTCTTAGTGCCCCCTATGGCCCTTATTCTGTTATACTCAATGATAGGGTGATCATGAGGTCAGCTGATGTGGGCTGTGAGTGAAGGAAGGAGGGGGAGTTGGTATTCTTCATGTTCTCAAATTTGCATTGCTGGTAGAGGTGAAGATTTAAGTTTGCTATCAATATTTCATTTCATTTCATTTATTCACCTCCATAAATCCTTTCGAGAGTACATTCTCATGCGGATGTGGAGATTGTCCTTGTTACAGTCACAACTAAGGATTACAGTTGTCATCCAATAGCATGCACATTTGTATAAAATACTGATAAACATCTACAATATAATAAATAAGTTAATTCTGTAGTAAAAGTAATGGCAAACCTTATACAATTTGTACAGTTTTATGCAAGTCTAATGAGTTTTGTATAACATGCATTAATTATATAATAAATTGAAATAAAGACTAGTATACAGTAATATAAAAATTGTGTATATCTAAAATAAGCATCTAAAAACCAGAACAGAGACTGACAACCTTGTTTTCTTTTAATTGTAAAGCAAGACAACTACTTGCACCTTAAAAAGATTTATACCCAAAATATTCCTGTAAAGAATAAGTAGAATGTAAATATAAAAATTGTTTTAAGTTTACCTCAAAACTCTTAGTGTCACTTGATATGTCCTTAATACGTAGCATATCCACAAAGTAAGTTTTCCACTCATCTCACAGCTAGCAAACCTTATATTGTGCAAAGCGACTGCACGTATGTGATAGAGCAATGACATAGCATGGCGCATGCACAAACGGAATTTCCCGCATTCCCACAGTAGCATCGTTGCAGCTGTTGAAGATGGAGGCTCTTATTCCAACTCCCACTGACTGTGAAGTGCGGTCAGTGATAAAGTTTTTGAATGCACAGAGCATAGCGCCGATCGAAATTCATCGTCAGCTGTGCCGGGTCTAGGGCCTAACGTCATGAGCAAGCAGATGGTGAGTTGCTGGTGCAGAAAATTTTCGGCAGGTCAACAAATTGTGCATGATGAGACGCGCAGTGGGCGGCCATCCATCATTACTGACGATCTGGTGGAGCTTGTGTGGGAATGCATTATGGTGAATCGTCACATCACAATTGCGGAACTCAGCAGTCATGTCCCGCAGATTTCCCGCTCCTTTTTGCACGAAATTGTCACGGAGCACCTGTTGTTCAGGAAATTGTGCACCAGGTGGGTGCCGAAGCAACTGACACCAGAACACAAAACAAAGCGCATGGAATCAGCATTGACCTTTCTGCAGCGGTACCATGATGACAGTGACGAGTTTCTGGACTGGATCATCACAGGTGATGAAACACGGATTGCACACCTTACCCCAGAAACCAAGCAGCAGTCAATGCATTGGCATCACAGTGGATCTCCCTGTAAGACGAAATTCAAGCAGACATCGGCACGGAAAGTGATGTACACCGTATTCTGGGGCAGACGGGGCGTTCTCCACGTCGACTTCCTGAGCAGAGGTGAGACGGTGAATGCTGAGCGTTACTGTGAAACACTGCAGAAATTGCGACGGGCCATTCAGAACAAGTGGCGCGGGATGCTTAGTGCCGGTATTGTCTTCCTGCACGATGACGCTAGGCTGCACACGGCTCGACGGACAGCAAGTCTCCTGCAGGAGTTCAGCTGGGAGGTGTTTAATTGTCCACCCTACAGCCCGGGCCTCACTCCCAGTGATTTCCATCTTTTCCTACACCTCAAGAAATTCCTGTCTGGTGAGCGTCAGCATTTTGAGAATGACAGAGAGGCGGAGATGGTTGTCACACAGTGACAGGCGTCAGACTTCTATGACACGGGTATTCAAAAGTTGGTCCCACGGTATGACAGATGTCTCAATTCCGGTGACGATTATGTTGAAAAATAGCTGAACACTTGCTGTATCTGTTGCAATAAATATTTCCATGAAATTGTGTTTTGTTTCTGTAAATGACACCAGGGAGACTTACTTTGTGGACGAGCCTCGTATATTATGGTAGATTATTATAGACCTTTGTTGCTAAACAGTAAACTCCCTTTTGGTATTTACTCAAATTTACAAGAGGCTGATATAGATTATTTTGCTGTCTTGTATTTATTCTATGAATCTCTTAATTTATTATGAATTTGTTTCTATTTTTTATCACAAAGAGCATAAGAGATAGTATACACTGAGATGCCAGTGGTAAGATTTCTAATTCTCTAAATGAGTTCCTGCATGAATCCCTCCTTCTGCATCCCAACATAATTCTAATTATATTCTTTTGCATTCTAAAAATTTTTATACTTTGGGGTGAGTTACCCGAAAAGGGTAAACCATAATTTATAATAGAACTAAAATAAGAGTGATAAACCATTTTTAAGGTATTTATGGACGTGTATGGTTTAAGCGATCTTATTATGTAGCAGACTGCACTTAGTTTAGAACTAATATACTCAATGTGGTATTTCCAGCTCATTGTGTCATCACTGAATATTCCAAGATATTTAATATTGGATATAGATATAATTTGTTTTCTATCATATACAATTTTTATTTCAGATTTAGGATTTTTATTTCTAGCTGTAAATTGAATGTAGTGGGTTTTGTTAAAATTTATAGAAAGTTGGTTTACTTTGAACCATTCATTTATACTATGAAAAGCATTATTTATGTTTACACAGAGATCATCATAGTTTGAACTTTTAACTAACAAACTAGTGTCATCTGCAAATAATATAGGTACAGTTTTATCATTTATAGCTTTGGGTAAATCGTTTATATAAATGAGAACTAACAATGGACCCAGAATTGAACCTTGCAGGACACCACGTCTAATTTTGCCCCATGTCGAAAATTCATTGAGATTATTTGTAATTAATTTGTAATTAAAACCCTTTGATAGCTATTTCTGAAATAAGATTCAAGACATAGTTTAGCTTTACACTTTATCCCATAGAACTCCAATTTCAACACACAATCGAAGGCCTTTTCTAGGTCACAAAAAATGCCTCCTATTAAGTTTTCGCTGTTTAAGATCTTACAGATTTCATTCACTAATGTGTATATAACCTCATCTGTTGAAGATTTTGTTCTAAAACCAGATTGTTCTTCCACTAAAATGTTATTGTTATTTAAGTGGTCAATCAATTGAATGCTCATAGCTTTTTCTAGTACCTTAGAGAACGAAGTTAAAAGTGATATAGGCCTATAGTTGGAAATATTTGATTTATCACCTTTTTTAAACAATGGTCTTATTTCTGAGTATTTTAAACGATCTGGGAAAATTCCTTGTGATAATGAAATGCTGCATATGCGAGCCAAAGGAGAGCTAATGAAAAGGGAACTCATTCTTAATACTTTAGTGAATATTTCATCATATCCATAAGAGTTTTTTGCTTTGAGAGGTTTAATTATATTTTCAACTTCCTTAGTTGATAAAGATTTAAATTTAATATGTGGAAAGGGGTTTATAAAATTTTTCATTAAATACTGAATGGGAGTAGTGTCTGGAAGGTAACTAATATTAGTATTATTTTGTTTATTTTTTGCATTTTTACTTTCAGCTACAGATAAAAAGTAATTGTTAAAGGTTTCCGCAATTACTTGCTTTTCTCTAATCCATTTTCCATCCACCTTTAATGTACCTATTTTTTCATTATTTGGCCCCTTATTAGTTTCTAATTTTACTATATCCCATTTGGTTTTATTTTTACTTTTGGAATTTTGAATTTTGTTATCATATTTTAGTTTTTTAGCTTCCTTAATGACCTTAGATGAAATTTTACAGTATTTTTTTATAATAGTTTATTAATTATGAATTATTACCGTTTCTACATGCCATTAGAGTACTCTTCTATGTTTACAGGATGTTTTTATTCCTATAGTAATCCAATCACTTATTTCATTTGAAATTTTAGTTTTTTTTTTTTTTTTGGAAAACTGGAATAGTAAATTTTCAAGTAAGTGTCTAAAAAGGAGTTAAACATTGTATTAACATCATCACTAGAAAATATTGAGTCCCATGTTTAATAACTTAGTTTAATTAAAGAGTCATTGATTGTGTGTTTGTTTATTTTCCTTATCATTTTAAATTGTTTACCATATGTTCTCATGTTTATTGTTTTAAATGTTATGGATTGTGCATCATGATCAGACAATCCATTTATTATAGGCCTTACAGAATAATTTTCCCTTCTAGTAATATCGATGAAAATATTATCAATGGCTGTAGCATAATTTCCTTGAACTCTGGTGGGAAAATTTATCGTACTTATTAAATTATAAGTTTTCAGTAAGGTATCTAACTTGTTATTCTTTTCACTATCAAGAAGGTAATTTATATTAATATATTATATTTAAGCATCCTGTTGCACTCCATACGATAA